AGGAGGTTAAAGATGAGTAACAAAGTAATCACACTAACAAAAAGGACAAAACAAACCGAAGAAAACCTCAATAAAAGACAAGTTTCCTTAAACAGGAAAGAAAATGATGATCCTTTTTGTGGCTTCACACGTTCCACAGATCCCACTGTCTGACCCTTAATGGCATGTGAAGAACATGTATCACTCAAATAAATTAAAGGAACACTTTGAAAACACATCAGATCTCACTGGGAAAGTAAATCACATCGACATCTACACTGATTGGACGAGGTAATGCGTTAGGAGTGAAGGGATGTCACATCGTTTGATGAAAAAGAAAATGATCAACCTGCAGAATCAATGTTCGATGTCACAGGCAGCATAACATTCTCCACAGCTTCTCATGACCCTTTCACGTCTGTCACATGTGCTCACGGTGAACCTGCTCTCATCTGTGAAAAGCACAGTGCACCAGTGGTGGACCTGCCAATCCTGGTGTTCTATGGAAAATGCAAATCGGGCTCCACATGCTGGGCGGTGAGCACAGAGCTCACTAGAGGACATCGGGCCCTCAGCACACCCTCATGAAGTCTGTTTCTGATGGTTTAGTCAGACTAAAGCGTAATTTAAGGTCCCGTAAACGTGTCCTCCAGCGTACACACTACCATTCAGACAACGAGTGTATCACGGTTTTCACCCAACACAGACTTGCTCCTCTGCAGTTTTCCAAAATTCCAACTGCATGTCACTGAAAGCGGAAGTCATATGCGTTCGCTAAATGCTGACTGGTTGACAAGTGGGCTGGAATAGAGAAAGGAGCAACAGTGGAGTTTACTGGGAACTGGAGAACTGCAAAAAAAACCCTTTAGTGACTTCAAAAATACAGCATGAAAAGCACAGACAGCGGGTCAGTGGACACTTTTCATTGATCTTTACACTCAGTTTCACACTTACACTGTTCTCCACAGCACAAGCAAGAGTAGCCCACACACTGGTCTGCAGGTAGATGGGCTATCCCCGGCTGCGCTGCCCTCACTGAACCATAAATTTGGCTTAACAATAACAGAGTGACCTGCATACTTATGGGTTTGAAGTAGGTACATTCACTTGCCCCGTGGGATCGGCACAGCGGATGGATCAGCATGCTTGATTTGGCACAGATTTTTTTTTTGTCCACCAGAGGGTCGTGCTGATGACTCGCTTCAATAAAACCCTGTCAGATATCACACAAAAACGACTCACGGACCGGTAGCGGTCCGAGGCCCGGGGATTGGGGACCGCTGCTCTAAAGGATGGATGTTTAACAGCTGGTATATAGGGCTGGGCCATATCATACTGTTCACAGTAATACCGGTATAATGTTGGGCAACGATAAGAAATGAAATATCGCGATAGAATACGGGTAAAACGCGCATGTGCAGTGCCGTTGTTTTCATACACACAATACAGAAAAAGCATGACGGCGACGGAGAATGAGAAGGGCGAAAGCGGATCGTTGAATGAAACGAATGAACCAGAATTGGTTTGTAAAAATGCTGCAACTTCAGTGGTGTGGAACTGGTTTAGCTTTCATCCATCAGATACACAACAAAGCACTATTTTTGGTAGAGCATGCTACCTGAAAATCTACAGTGCCCCTTATAATCCTGTGTGTCTTATGTATGAATTGTGGTTGTGTTTACTGACCTCTAAACGATTTTATTTGGTACACGTCGCTCAAAAATCTGTCAAACACACAATATCAGTAATATTATGTTGAAGCACAGTACGTATCACTCTGCGAAGCTCCTGCCTACGAACCCGCACCACTTGATGGATTTTCGGAGCATTACGGCTATCGTAGGCAGGAGCCTCGCAGAGTGATACGTACTGTGCTTCAACATAATATTACCGTATTGTGTGTGTATAACCTCTTTTTTAAGTTTTGTGGATATTATACATGGTTATGCTGAGGATATGTCGGCCAATTTCCACTGGAAATGCCTTTTGGTTAAACTGTCAGCAAGGAATTTGCATTTGCACAGTTAAATTTTTTATATAACTTTAATGCACATAAAAAACAGCTGCTTGTTTAAGTGAAAATACATTGATGGGGTTTTTTTTGCACTAATAAAGTTGTGGAGTTGTAAAGTATTTTGTCTAGTGTCAATTATATCGTCAGTTATATCGTTATCTCAAATTTTCAAATGTATATTGTGATAAATATTTTTGCTCATATCGCCCTGCTCTACTGGGATATCTTACCTGCTCTGCTGATGCCACAGATGAAGCCAGTGAAGAGGTCTGGCCTGCAGGAAGCTCCAGATTAAGATCCAAACTGAAAAATAAAAATCTAATTAATTAATATTAATGAGCCTTTTGTGTTTCAAAGCAGCCTTGTAAACAGTGAAAGAGGTGCATCCTCGATCTTAATGAAAGTCATTTGAATAAAGCTTTTAGTACAGTTCATTTTATACACTGCAGTTGCCAATTTCTTTCCTAATGCTTTTAGACAGCGTAGAGATCTTACCCGGCTTCATCAGCCATCTCGTGCAACAGCATATCCACTTCATTCTAGGGACCCAACAAGCAAATAGTAATTTTAAAAAAAAAGGCCTTTAGAAATGAAACAACTGAATAAGAATGCAGTGATCCTGCATGCATAAGCAGCAACAAGGGCTCAGGAGTGTTTCCTTCTTGGGAGATAACAGGAAGTGTTACCTGAGGCGTTGTTAGAGTGGTGGTGCTGCTCATGGTATCCTCCATCTGAGCTGTCTGCACGTCAAGAGTTTCAAACTGCTTTTCAAACTTGTCCATCAGTGCAGAGATCTGTGCAGAAACACAGTGAGCCCAAAAAATGAATTAACGAATAGAAATTTCCTGAATAGTTTTTGTGCCATATGCTGCAAACAGCCTCTAACCTTCTCCAGGTTCATGCTTTTCAGTGTAGCATCCATAGACTTCACCACTCCAGACATGGATTTTGACACCTGGGAAAACAAAACATGAAATAAACCACTGAAGCTTGGGTGCTGTTTTCCAACGTGTCCACTAGGTGTCACTTTAACCCTTTTAACTAGACACTATCATGACTCTCTCACACTAGAAGCACCTCTAATAGTTCTAGGATGATGCTGATTAAAGATTAATCTAGTCAAAAACAAACCTACCATTAGGTAAACAAGCTGCGGTAAATGGGTTTATAATAAATGCAATGGCATTAGCTTTAATGAGAGGCAGCGGTATTATAGCAACACACAAGGGTGCTCAGAGGTGTTGCTCGGCTGTAACATCTCACGCACTCCTTCCATTTCTGCAGACATTATTACGCTTTACTCTGTGAAAAGGTGCCTTTCCTGTAGTGATGCTGAATTAAAGCAATTTAAAAGAGGCCGTCACTCTCACAAGAGCGAGGAGCTAATAGCACAAGGTCTAAAGCGCCTCTAATGACATTATGTTATTGGTGTCTTTTTGTTTGCATGTCTGCGAGCCCTTTTGCCTGACTCTGAAGTGGCTGCGCTCTTCACCTCTTCTGAAATAAGATGTCATTTTCAGAACATGCACAGTGAAAAAAATACATGCATAACATTTGATGTGGTGAACGAGCACACTCCTTGTAAATGTAGGACAAGAGGTTTTGATGTCATAGCACATGCAAGGCTACGATGAAATCTGGTTTACATATATAAACTTTTAAAAATGAAAAAAAAAAAACCCACTATATTTACACATCTGAATGTGTGACAAATATCTGGAATAGTTGCAGTACACAACTATAATTACTTATATCATTCTTTAGAATCACTGCACTCCAAGAGAAGCAAAACTGATTTAGACTTTGAATGGAACGTAAAAAGCAAAGTACAACCAACTCAAGCCAGGGAACATTCTCTATCTTAATGTATGCCATTAAAAGAGTTTTTCGGTGGTCATCGTTTACATTACAGTGGAAAAGCAAGAGAAGTGACCTGCAAACTCATGACCCACAGTCCTGACCTGGTTCATAGTGACAGCTGTCTGGACCCTAGAGGCTACAGCGTCCACCCGGGCACTCATCCTCAAGAAGTTGATGGACTGGTGCTTCTGCCGGATGGCGTTCTCTGCATGGATCCTGGCTGCCTCCATATTACCCTTCTGGATAGCCTGAGAAACACAGCATACACACACAGTGTAACACGCGGTGCAGTTATACTGTGGGCCAGCTTTTCAAGACTCTAATAAGTGTAATAAACCAACCTGCTTCACTTTAGTTTTTTCTGACTTTTCCTCTTTATCACATTTCCTGGAGTTACGCTGTAGCTCCTTGGCAGCAAACTTCAGGTTGAACAAGTGTTCTTGAGCAGCTGGTCAAGGGGTTGTTTCATGTTAGCAGAGCACTGGCAATAAATCCAAATTACAATTTAATGCTATGAGGACGAGTCTGAATACATCTAGCTTATTTAACCCAAGTCAGTGGTTCTCATGATGCTAGCGAAAATTTAGCCAAATATAAAAAGAAAAACGTGAAAACAAGGTCAGGTTTTTGCTCATAACGACACAACAGAGCAGAACTTCCATGTATGAAAGAGTTAGCTTAATTACCAAGCCCAGCTTATGACTAGCTACGGTTTTGCTAGGCAAATGTACGTAAGAGTACAAATGAAAGGATACTTTCCATATTCGACATGATAAAAGTCTTTTTCTGAGACAACTACTGAGTTTCGTAATGTACAAAGTAGCATCCAGACACTCGCTTTTTTTCAACCGGAGATGCTTGTTTTGATTTTTGAGGGTTGTACCATACGGCAGTGTAGCGAGGCAAGATGCATCGGTTGCAGATACTTCCGCTTTTGTTTTAATTCGGTTAAAAAAGAGTGGTAGATTTTTTTTATTTGTCTTTCTGTCCCCCAAAATGCTCTTATAATCGTGAAATATTAATCCGTTGGTTAGGCAGTTAAAAAATAAATTCCATCGCTCGCAAAAAATGCTACTAAGTGTGAAAGATTAGGAATTCTCTTATCACGCATGCGCTAAAGAGCGTCTATTAGACACGACGACTATTCCCGAATGTTCCTTCTTGTTTTTGGTGGTATTTATGACCTTTTTTCTCAACATTTGCATCTATATTTTATTAATAGCCCACTATTCGGCCCATATTTACACGTACAAAATAAGCTTTGTCACTAATTAATAAATTATCTGCATTAACAATGTCGATCTATGACTAAAACCTTTATATCGGGGCAGAAGAGAGATGTGTGAACCATCTTAGTTAATCTTTATTTTTGAATACAATCGCTGATACTTCTGGCCACCTTTCACCGTCGTCACACTTGATCACGATTCTGCGTGACGTGCTCGCGCCTTCTACGTCACGACCGTTGGAAAAGTGGACTGGGTGCGCGTGTCCAAAGCAAAGCAGACAAGTTCCATCCAGGCTAAAAATAGTTTACCCGGTATCGGTAGGTTGTGGTACACGTCTAGTGACGTCATTTGTGTGTGTGTGTGTGTGTGTGTGTGTGTGTGTGTGTGTGTGTGTGTGTGTGTGTGTG